GAGAGAGAGAGAGAGAGAGATAAAGAGAGCTATAAATTCCACCACTTCTCATAATAGAAAAACTTTAGAAGCCATACAATATCTATGTCCAAAAGATAGATAAATGATAGAGTGAAACAAAAGAACAGTAAAAATGAAAGACAGCAGCATGTTGGACATCAGTAACAGAATATTGGGTAAATAATGCAACTCTCAAAAAGTACACATTGTTTCATGTTCCTCAAATAATCTGGAATTAAAGAACCTACATCCAAGATATCGTCTGAGCATGCACAGATATGTCATACGACAACAGGATTCAGAAGCTCAGCCAAAGCCCATTTTGTTTTCCAGGGCCCTCTTCGAGGGTTTGCATGTTGATGCACTGTTAATAATAATAAGGTTAAGATTAATCAATATTTTTGTGCTTCACATTCTAAAATTAAATTAAATTTTCTGCAGATACTTTTTTGTTTGTTTTTGGTTCTAGGGGTTGAACCCAGATATACTTAACCACTGAACCCCATTCCCAACCCTTTTTGTATTTTATTTAGAGACAGGTATCACTGAGGTGCTTAGTGCCTTGCTTTTGCTGAGGCTGGCTTTGAACTTGCCATCCTCCTGCCTAAGCCTTCTAAGCCTCTGGGATTACAGGTGTGCATCACCAAACCTGGCTGCAGATACTATTTTAACTCAACAAATTTTTAAAAATTTAACCATACAGAGTATTTTTAGACCAGAATGGATGCGTCAATTCTCAATGAAATATTAACAAATCAAATCCAGCAATATATAAAAAGAATTATACACCATGACTCAAGAAGAATTTATTCCAGAAATGCAAGTCTTGTTCCACATTTAAAAATCAATACCTGCAACTCACAGTATCAATAAGCTAAAGAAGAAAACTCATTTGTTCCCATCAACTGATGCAGAAAAAAATAATTGAAAAAAACTAATTTCATGATAAAAACACTCAGATGGAGAGACAAAGCATGACTAAAGGAGAACTTCCTTTACATTATAAAAAGCTTCTACAAAATTCCTACAGTTAGCAGACTTCATAGTGAAAGACTGAATGGTATCACTTGTAGACTAGGAACAGTCCAAAATTTTTTCACTTTTTAAACTATTATTGAACATAGCAATGGAAAATCTAGCCAGCACAATAAGGCAAGAGAAAAATAAAAGGCACAGTGATTAGAAAAGAAGAAAATAAGCTGTCCCTATATGCAGATGATATTATTGTCTACATTTGAAATTCCAAGTAATCTGGGCTGGGGTTGTGGCTCAGTGGTAGTGCACTCACCCAGCACTCACTTGGGTTCTATCCTCAGCACCACATAAAAATACATAAATAAAATAAAGATATTATGTCCAACTACAACTGAAAAATAAATACTTTTTTTAAATTCCAAGTAATCTGTACAAAAATTCCTAGAACTAGAAAGTAAATTCAGCAAGTTTATAGCACAAAAATCAACAGCAGTTTTCTGTTAACAGTAAAAATGTGGAAACCGAAATTTAACAATAATACCATTTATAATTGCTCCAAAGAAAATGAAAATCTTAGGTAAAATCAAACAAAACATACAGGACTTCTATGTTCTAAACTACAGAATGCTGATAAAAGAAACTGAAGGCCTAACTAGATGGAGAGGCATACCATATTTACGGACTGAATATGATGTTGATACTCAACATTTACTATGTTGAATGTCACACAGTAAAGACATCAGTTCTTTCCAAACTGACCTAAAGACTTAATGAAATTCCTGTCAAAATCCAAGCAAAGATTGTTATAGACATAAATGTTTATTTTTGAATTTATATAGAAAGGCTGAGGACCTAAATAACCTAAACAATTTTGAAAAAGAAGAGAGTGAGAGGAATAGATCTACTCTATACTCAGCATAATACACCATGATAGTGTGGTATTAGCAGAGGGGTAGTCACAGAATATAGTTAGCAGAACATAATACGGAACCCAGAAATAGAAACACAACATTCAACAAAGGCACAAAAGCAATCCAACCAAGCAAAAACCCCTTTTAATAAACGATGGTGGAGCAATGTCCCATTAACGAATAAAATGAAACTCAACCTAAACTTCACATCTCACATCTCACACAAACTTCACACATTCAAGTCAAAGCTGATTACAGACTTAAGTGTAAATTTAAAACTATACATTTTTTAGAAAATAAAATATAGGATAAATCTATCAACCTAAGTCTTGGTGACAAGTTCTTAGACTTAATACCAAAGACCCATTCCAAACAAGGAGAAAATGATAACTAAGCTGTTTTTAATTTAAACATTATTTAAGTGCTAACAAAATTTAAACATTTGGCTTTGTGAAAGACTTTGGAAGAGAAAAAAATATAAAGGCTAACAGAAAATATTTGTAAACCACATATCTGACAGAGGACTTGCAACTAGAATATATAAAGAGCTCTCGAAAGTCAAAAGAAGGAAAATTTTTCAATTTAAAAAGATATAAACAGACACTTCACCAAAATGACACACAGATGACAAAAAACACATGAAAAGGTACTCAACCTCATTAACTTAGGGAAATGCTGATCAAACCACAGGGATATGTGGCTAAAATAGCGGTCACATAAGCACTGCCCATCAGAGACTGGTGGGCACGTGAGATGGGAGGGTGCTCTAGAACACAGACGCCAGGTTCTTACAAAACCAAACGTGCTCAGGCGTGGTTTGATCTAGAAGGTCCTCCCAAGGCCCCTGTGTTAAAGGTTTGGTCCCCAGTGCTGGTGCTATTGGGAAGTGGTGGAACTTTTAAGAGGTAGAACTATTGCAGGTCTGGGTCACTAGCAGCATGTCCTTGAAAGGAATTAGGGTCTTTTCCTCTCTTTTTTGCTTCCTGGCCAAGCAGCTTACTGTGCCATATGCTCCCTGCCAAGATATGCTGCCTCACCCCAACAATAGGGCCAATAAAACATAAACTAAAACCTCCAAAACTGTGAACCAAAATTAAACCTTTTATTTATTTATTTAGACGCTGAGGATTGAACCCAGGACCTCATACATTCTAGGCAAGTTAGGCAAGTGCTCTATCACTTAGCCACACCCATAACTGCCTTTCTTCTTTTTAAATTGATAGCCTCAGGTATTTTGTTACAGTAACAGAAAGTTGACTAACTCATGTAGTTACCACCCTGGAGTGCTGCTTAGCTGTAAAAAGGAATTGACTGTTGATTCAGGCAACTTGGAAGGATTTATGGAAAATACTGCCTGGTTCCAGTTATATACTTTATATATATATATAATTTTTTATGTGTGTGGTGCTGGGGATTGACCCCAGGCACTCTACCAACTGAGCTATATCCCCAATCCTCAGCCCCAATTATATAATATTCTTGAGATAACAAAATTATAGAGTTGAATAAGAGATTGGTGGTTGCCAGGGACTGGGGAGAAGGGAATGCTATAAAAGGGAAGCATGAAGGATCCTCATAATAGAACTGTGATCCTGATGGAGGTCACACAAGTGTGCACAGGAGGTAAAACTGCACAGAACTGAGTACATAATCATAAGCAACTGCATTTAAATCTGGTGAAATCTGAATGAGGTTGGTGGATTGTACCAATCTCAATGTTCTGTGGTGAGATTCCACTATGGGTCTGCAAGTTGTTACCATTAGGGAAAATTTGGTGAAGTAGAGTCAGGATCTCTGTGAATTTTTGTTGCTTGTGACTCTTTATCTCAGGACAAGGACAATATAAAAGTTTAAACTTTTTTCATTTTAATATGATAATAGCTGAACACAATAAAAAACGACTTTTTATTACAGATGAGGGATCAGTCCACTCTCAATGTGGGGCTGTCTCAGTCCCCGATGTGTGGACGTATCCTTTCACCTGGAACCATGAATGGACTTGAACACAGGACAAGGCCTTAAGTGGAAGTGGAGCTGGGATGTCAGGAGGTGACCCCAGTGTCCAGACCAGGACATGCCATTCCCTGGAGGTCTGTGGGCTTCTCCTGTGTGTGCAGCTCCTGGTAGAATGCATGAGGTCATCAGTGGTCAGGACAAGGGTTCCGGAATCTTGGAAGCCACTGGATCCTGAACGCTTGGCTATGGCCAGTGCTCTTTCCACACTGTCTGGTGAGCATGGACTCAGCCCTGGGCCTTGGTCTGGAGAGAGCGTGACCTTGCTCTCACAGGGAGGGTGTCACTCTTCCTCTTCTGGGCGGTCCCCGCACTGAGCTGTGCTCCTCTGAGGCATCCCAGGGAAGAAGGGGGCATGGCTCTGAACGTCAGATGAATGGCAGGGGTGAAGCAGGACACAGTAGGCCTCAAGTCAGGAGGGAGAGAGAACAGGAGGGAGTGTGGGCAGGAGGTGAGCCAAGTGAAGCTGGAGGAAGGAGGCCCAGAGGAACTTGGCCACCATGGCAGCCTCGAGGGCCTCGGGAGCTCGGCACAGTGGCAGGGGCCACTCTGGCATCGTTTGGAGCCAGCCTCAATTGCCTGTGAAGTGGCAGTTGTTTCCAAGGACTTGTACATAGAGCTGGTGACAAAGGAAACAAGTATGTGTGTCGCCCAGCTTGACCCTATGGGAACACGCCTGGCACTCACTGCCACTCTTCCCTTCAGCTGAGACGTGAGTGCTCATGGCAGATCCCAAGAGCTCTGGCCATGGTCAAGGGACAAACCCAGATAAATTGAGTCATGGTCCTTCATCCACAAATCAGGTGAATTGTAACAGTTGTCTCACACTTTATAAGGATGGAATGAGGTATTTCTTAGTGCACAGATCAGCATCTAAAGTTTAACAAGTAACCAATAATTGTTAGCTACCATTACTACAATTTAAATGATTATTGTCTCCCAAGAAGCAGGTCAAGCAGAAGGAAGATTCTGGTTGGAATCAGACAGGGTCCCTTACATGCTTCTGTCCCAAGGGAAGACAGGGTTCCTGTGAGGTCCACACCAGCTGCCTCCGAGCTCCAAACCAAAAGAACCACAGGAAGGGTCAGAAGCGCAGCAGTCATGGATGGGGAGGCAGGTGTGTGTGGCCAGTAGCCCCTTTGCCCCTGATCTCTGGATGGATGAATGACAGACACCTTGGTCCCAGCCCGGTGGGGATTCTCTTGACTCGCTTCTCTTGACTCGCCTGAGCCAGGCTCTGCAAGGGCATGGCAAGGGGGCGTCAGGGAGAACCAGGTGGTCACTTCCTGTTGGCTTTTGTAGCTATGAGAGACAAACGACGGGATAACTGTCTCCACAGAGGTGTTACCCAGGCCAAATGGCCCCCAGGATGAGGCCCCAGAGTGCAACCCTGGCCTGCTGACAAAAGGTGAACAACTAGCTCCTGCTCTTATAGAGAAAGGTAAAGGGGACAGTGGCCATTCCTGCCTTATGCTGCTAGGTGTCATCTGCAAGTTCCTTAAGGCAGGTGACAGGCAGGAGCCCAGGAGTGTCCCTCCCATGGTCACAGGTTGCCCTTTCCCTGCAGCCCCACAGAACAGCAGCCCTCTGGCCTCTTCGGCAGCTGTTCCTGAGCAGAGAAGCAGGAGGAAGAAGGGCCAGAAGAAGAAGCGGGCGAATGCCAAGGCAGGTATGTCCCTGCTGGACCCTCAAGCATCCTTGACCTTAGGAAGAGCCAGTGAGCACTTGGCACCTGTCCTCCCAGGCAGGTCTTATCTTTGGGGTCAGGGGCCCGGGAGGGTGGGTGCAGGAGCTCCGGGGGCCGCAGCCCTGCTCACCCGGGGCCTGTGTTCCCCAGCCACCCAGGAGGGCAGCTCTGCCGCCTCCACAGCAGCCTCCTCAGAAGCCATTTCCCAGCTGAAGCTCTGGAGGAGGAGGGGACAGAAGAACATATGGACTGTCGACCACATTCAGGGGACAAAACTGAGGATGAACAGGAGGAGAAGGCCCAGTTACCGCCCTGAGGACCAGGAAGCCTTCTACCGACTTCTGGGTGGGTTCTCAGCTGGTGACGTGCTCAGGGTCCTTTGAAACTAAGAGTTGTAGAGAACTGGGGCTGGCCTCCCTCCTGGAGTGCAGGTGGCACTGACGTAGAGCGCCTGGTCCTGTGGAGCTGTGAGGGCGCTTCTTCCTGAGCCACAGTCCTGGGGGGCAGGAGAAGGGGCTGCAGGTTGGAGAGCCGTCCCTTGCTGGGATGGCTCAACTGCACCAGTCAGGACAGAGCGGAGGACACAGAAAACAAAACACCACCTGCAGAAGCAGGGGTCTCGGCAGTCGCCATGAGGAAGATGTTAAGAAATGCCGGTGGAAGGGAGAGGGGACTGTCAGGAAGCAGGAGGCTCAAGAAGGGCCACTTGAGAAGATGACATCGGGCCCAGAAGCAGACCCAGTGTGGCGGCTTGGGGACAACACCAAGGTCACACTGTCCCACGCAGCATCCACTAGCCACATGAGTTAAGCTTTCCAAATTCAGCTCTTCAGCCGCGCAAGCCACTGGACTTCACAGGTGTGGGCATCCTCACCATCACAGGGCTCTGGGCACAGGGCTCTTCCGAAGGCAGGGAATGGGAGAAGGCACCCCTGTGCAAGTGTCCCTGTCCTGGGCCAGGGGAAGGGTACACAGGGCCTGGTGCTCTCAGGGGAAAGCTCTAGCCACAGGAGCCCAGGGAGGGGGCAGCTCACTGCTGCAGGGAAGGAGGCCCAGCAGGCAGGGGCTGCGGCCTCTATCTTACAGTGCTCAGGGCAGGGCAGCACAGCACCGTCACACGTGACAAAGTATCAGGGCGAGGTGTCACAGAGTCGGAGACACGTCCAAGCTTTCAGGTGGAGGTACTGTTAAGCTTTGAGAACCAGGTCAAATCTCTTCTGCCCTCATGCCCCCACTGAGGGTTCAGCAATAGTCCCACATTCACGCCCCTGCTGCCTCCAGTGGGCCAGGGGAGGGACACGCATTCTGAGGCCAGCCCTTCCTGGGGCAGGGCGGCTGCTGTCCTCCTGGAGCTGCTCACTTGGAGAGCTCCTCTGAAGGCCCCCACACAGGGGTTCCCCCATGTACACTCATCTCCAGATGGCTGCTGTCTGCTTCCCTCTGCAGAGGATCCTGTTATCCAGAGCTTCCTGGAGGCCGACATTTTCCTCAAAGTGTCTGACAAGGTACCTTCAGATCCCAAGTGAGGGGGAGAGGGTCCTCAGGGTCCCACCCCCAGGGGGCTGCCGGGGAGGCGTCTTGAGTCATGTCAGGAGAAGGCCTGCAGGGGCCTGCTCTCAAGGCCAGAAAAAAGAAGGGGCACACTGCCATTCTGCCCTGCCCCTCGGCTCATTTCCACATGAGCTCCCCAGCCAGGCTCTCCCGGGTGTCTTGGCCTTCTGATGGGGAGGCAGGGCCCACTCAGGCCACTTCCCCATGTCCCCCACAGTACCTGCTGTCCATGGTGGTGGAGTACTTCGGCCGTGTTGGGCTTCCTGGACACCTCTACAACAGGGTCCACTTCTTCCTGGCTCTGTAAGCAACTCCTCAGGGCAGTGCTCCATCTGCCCAAGTCCCCGAATGGCATGTCTCCTGTCGCCCCATCAGCAAGGCTCAGTCATGCCACGTGCCCAGTTGGGGCTGTTCTTGACCACAAAGTGGTTGAGACCTCCAGGAGCCAGGTGGTCATGGGAGAAGGGAAGAGGCCCTGAGACGGTGAAAACAGCCCGAAAGCACCACCAGCTGCCCAGAGACTGAGGGAGGAAGCCCCTGAGAAACAAGGGGCAGCTAGAACAGGGTCCTCAACTGAGCACAGCACAGGCCCCAGGCTTGGAGTCAAGGGTGCCCTGGGCCCAGCAGATCCAGGTCACCCTGCAGAGAAGGCCTCTCCAGACCCTATCTCCTGGATAGGTGGTTGTCTCCTGGTCAGCTCCATTGTGACCTCTCCTGCCTGTCCTTCTGAGGCAGGGAGTTGTGGTTACGAACAGGCAAGCTTCCCATTTTCCCATGGCAGCTACATCGCCTCTGACATGGAGGAGGACAACCCTACCCCCAAGCGCAGCATCTTCCAGTTCCTGCTGGGCAAGGAGCACTGGCCCAACCTCTACAAGGAGTTCCTGAAGCTCAAGGTGGAATTCTTCCACGCCATGGGGCACCGAGCCTGGGTCACCCCAGAGCTGTGTGAGGAGGTCTGTGGGGATTGACAATCGGGGAGGCTAGGAGACAGGAGGCAACCTGGAGATGTGTGGGCGGCCGTCCTCCGGGCTCACCTCTGCGTTTTTCCCTTTCAGATCCAGGCCCAGAATCCACACCACTGGGTCTGGAGCAGGGTGCGCCAGTGCGCCCCCTAGGTTCCCAGGGCCTGGGAACAACAGGCAGGGCTGTGGAGCAGGGGCTGCAGATGGTCCAGGTGAGAGTGGGTCCTAGCTGGGGCCCCTGCAGGGGGGCCAGTCCCCCACCCCCTGCCGTGTCCCTGAGGCCACTTCCGAGGCTGGGCTGGCAGAAGCGGAGGCTTTGCTGCAACCTGTCCCTGAATTTCTTCTCACATGTGAGGATAGTGAGGGCTCTGAGAACGCCTGTGGTAAAGAAAAGGTTTATATCAAAGTTCTGTGATTCCAGGATTATGTAATGTGCAACACAGAGTCTCAGTTTGCAGGCAAGTGCACACCTGTAATCCCAGCTGCTCTAGAGGCTGAGGCAGGAGGATGGCAGGTTTGAGACCAGCATCAGCAGATTTGCAAGATTCTGTCTCAAAATAAAATATAAAAAGGAAAAAGGACAGGGATGTAGCTCAATGGTAGAGCACCCCAAGGTTCAGTCCCCAGTACTTAAAAAAAAAAAGTCTTAAATTGAATATTTTTTTTAAAGGAACCCTCTTGGAAATGCTTTTTTCTGGGTAACAATCTTTGCAGAATTTTGATCTGAGTTGAAATTTTTAAACATAAATACATGAAAAACACTGAGGTCATTCTTTCTGGGGAAGAGACTCTTACCACAGTGGCTCTTGGGAGGAAAGAAGATGAATCCCCACATTGCTCCTGTGTTTTGCATTTTGCTCCCACAGGAAGCAAATGCCCTGAGCTTGATCCTTGAGGATGCACTTGGCGTCTCTTCTCAGGGGCAGAAGGAGTTACCAGAGAGCTCTCTGGTCTCTGAAAAAATTATTATTATTATTATATATAATACTTATATTACATAATATTATATAATTATATAATATATAAGATATATACATACACGTGTATGTATATATGTGTATATATATATATCTCATTCCTGGGAACAAAAGGAAGACAGCGCCCACGTGTGGCTGTGAGGGACATACCAGAAGATGTGTTGGCAGAAAACCATCCCCTGTCCACTTATGCTCAGTGTGCTTCCTCTGGTTTAGATTTCCTTTACCCTTTGGCTTTGCTTAGGTTGGGGAGGCCACTAGTCAAATGTACAAGAAATTCTGCGGGGCATAAGGCTATACTGGGACAATCTTATGCCACACACGGGGCAGGAATGGGCCTGTTCTGAGCCTGGGGACACAGAAAGGGGAGAGAGGAGAGCAGGGTGCTGTAAGCCACAGTTGGTGTAAGTTTTTTGTTTCTATTAGTACATTATAGTTATAATATTGGGGTTTGTTTTACCATAATCATACATACATGGAATATAATTTACTCCACTTCAGTCTCCAGGACTTTCTCTTATATTTATTGATAGTATTTTTTAATTGTGCATCCAAGTTTGAATTCATCCACAGGTTTTTTTGTGTTTTTGTTTTTGTTTTATTGGATCAAAAACAACCACATGTATTTATCAGGAATCTCAAAATTCCAAAAACAAATAGCAGAATCCCCCTTGGGTCCCGTCAGTCAGAGAAGTGCGGGTGGCTCCATCCTCCATGCAATCCCATGTGTGATGCACAGGAATTTGCCTCCACTGGGCTCTGATGGCTCTTTCTCTTTTCTTGTAGCTCCCGCCCACCCCTGCCTCCCCTCCCCCTCCCCCTCCCATGACGCAGCTGCCTCTTCCCAGGCTCCAGGCAGCTGTAGAGGCATCATGGGGCTTCCCTCAGACAGGCAGGACAGACGGAAGAGGATGCAGGGTGAGCATGGACCATGGCGGCCTGCAGCTGGGAATCCAAACCAGCCGAATGAATCACTGCCCATCTTTAAGCAGATGTCAGCCAGCCAAGCCCTAACCCCTGCATGCCCTCGGGAAGGGTCCAGCAGGAGACCCCCAGAACAGGAGCTTCAATGGAGACTGAGGAGAGGGAGAGGCAGAAGGGAAAGTCCAGGGAGGGCCTTGGACCACCAAGGAGGAGGAACTGGAAGGATGAGTCCAAATCAATTACTGGAAGGTGGCAAGGAGGGAAGGAGTGGGTGCAGAAGGAGAGAAGCCATGAGAGGAGGAGCAGAGCCCCTGCAGACAGGCAGGGTCCTGGGACTCTACTCGCAGCGCTTCCTGCATAATGGACTAGATTACCTGACGGAGTCCTATGCCACAAGATGACCCAGAAGTCTCAGCCAGGGGACCGAAGGGTGGCAGTGCTGAGCGTGTTGGTGTGTAGACCCAATGCAGAAACGAAAGCACAAATAAGAAATCATCTGCCACCACAGCGTACATCCTGGCAATATGGACATAGCCCAGCTTGAAAGATGAGAGGGAGGGAGGGGGAGGGGAAGGGCTCATGAGGAGGAGAGCTAAGAAAACAGTGGAAGCCAAGGTACCAGAAGGAGATGAGAACACAAACACGACCATCCCAATGCCAAAAGTAATACATACAACAGATTTAAAAGAGCAAAGAAAACAGAACAGATACACAGAAATTTAATGTAAGAAATAGAGCAAATACAATATATAAATAAGACACTGCTAAGACCAGCCGTATTATTTGTTTTAATAAATTTGAACTCACTACAAGAAGAAAAATTTTCAGATCGACTCATACTACACTGCGTGTGAGATGATACCCCAGGGATTCAGGATGCATTGATCTGGGGGAAAGGAAGGTAAATCAGGTCAAAGTAAGAGGAGGAATTATGATCTGGATACAGAGGGAAGGAAAAAACAGGCTCAGAATCCTTCAGATAGACGAGGAAGGACACACAAATGGGGTGGGAGGCCCTGGGCATCCAGACCCCAGGGAGGTGGGAACATGGCCAGGCATTAAATGATCCAGAGGCCTAGGCTGGTCCCCTGAGATTTGGTTTGCTCAGGTTCAGGTTTTACAGCTCTGTGTAGCTATTCTAGATGGGCAATTTTATTACAGAGCTGCTTATAGGAAAAAACTGCCAGGGCCAGAGAGAACCTGGCAGGGAATTTCTGCCAACTACAAGGTTCCCAGGGACCCCACAGTCAAGTGCAAGTTGAGCATCCCTAATCCAAAATTTTGGAATTTAAAATGCTCCACAATCCAAAACTTTCTGAGCACAGACATGACACAGTAAATGGAAAATTCCACAGGCAAATCCAAAAATATTGTATAAAATTACCTTTGGGGCAATTTTTAAATGATCTTAAAGTTCTAGGATTTCACAATAAGACTTTGCATTCAGTGTCTTGGTTTGCAAAGTCCATTCCTATTCAGTGTGGGATCCATGTCCAGTGCCTGTCTTAATACGTGAGACTACACAGCTTTCAGATTCCAGGGTTTGCACAGGAACCCAAGCAGAAAAGGTGTGGACGTGGGGACTCAGTGACCAGAGGGCACAGAAGCCCTAGCAACACACCAGGAATGCAGAGGTAGGGACACCTGTTCTAGCTGGTTTTAGATTGCTGCAGCCAGTGGACCCAGCTGTTTGCTGCAACCAATGCTGGGAGCACAGAGCTCCACCCTCGGGCCTCCAATGGGCTCTTCCCACCTGACACCACAGGGAAAACCCTTTAAGATAGAGAAGAGGTATCAAAAGCCCGAAGTGGACATCCAGTCCCCGGCTAGGCCCCGGGCGCCGTGAAATGACACACAAACAAGGGGGGATGGGCAGTGAGATGACACTGGTATGGGGATTTGGAGGAAGCTGTGCGGGATGTGAGTTGAGAGTTTGCACTTGACTCATCTAGATCTGGAGGGGCAGAAAGGCTGCAGCTCTGCCGACTACTAGCAATAGGCTGAAAACGCCTTCAACTTCAGAAATGTACACATTACCTCTCAACGTTTCCAGCCAGTGATTCTTAACCTCTGAAATGCAACAGTAAGCACTTAGAGTATGTGCGCAGTGTGTGGTGTGTGTGGCTGGGGTCAAGCCAAGGCCTTGCATGTCGCCAGGCAAGTGCTCTCCCACTGAGCTACACTCCACCCTGAAGTATTCTTAAGTGAAAGATACACACAAAAATGAATGCAAGACAAATGAGGAAACACAAGTGGCACTAGCTTCCCACTGTTCTGTCAAGCTCCCCTAGGGACATGACCACCCCTCATGATGTAGCGTTTCTGAGTCCCTGGAGCATGTGGTCTACAGCTTCACAAGGCAGACTCAAGGCGGACCCATTAACTACAGAGGTAAGGCCGGCCTTCACACCAGCATGTGGGAGTAGAAGGGGGAATTAAGATAGCTGTTTTTAGACTTTGAGTTTAGTATAAAGTGTTTATTTTAAAATGCCAATTTTGTGTTATACCACACAAAACGAAGAAATATTTTCAGTTAAAAGAAAAACTTGAAGATGTCCATTATAATGTGACCGAGAAGGCAACACACAGACCAATACAGTGAGTCTAACTCCAATAAGTTACATGAAGCGGGCGTTCATTTGTCTACTTCTCTAATGTGTTCATAAGCTCCGCCTGGCGCCGTCCTTCCACTGGGACACTGGGCCTTACTGCCTGAGTCTCCTGGGCTAGGGCAGGTGGTGGTGGCAGCTCAGGGTGGGGAGTAGGCAGGGGCTCAAGAGCCCAGCCTGCTGAGGGCTGTGACGAGCAGGGCAGCAGGCCTGGTGTCTCTGCCTCAGAGCTGCCTGTAATCCCTCGACAGCCCCTCGAGGGAAGAGCACAGGCATCGGCGCCCACCTGGGAAGGAGGACCTGTCCCAATGTGCGCTTGCTTTTTCAGTTCCGGCTGCCTACGGAAGTGGTGACTCGTATTCCTAGCTGCGTACATCAGGTAAGATGGACAGGGAGTCACTGAGGAGCAGGAGTCACGCAACAGAGACATGGCTGCTACTCCACCTGCCTCGCGGCCCATTGACCAAGGTGACCAGCTGGCTTCCAGCCTTAATTGAGGTGATGTGGGCCACTTCAGCACCCAAATCCTTCCCCACCAGATGGGCTTCTTCAGCACCCCCACATGCCTCTGAGGAGGTTTAACTTTCTGGACGTGAGACTCTTCGAGCCTCATAGAAAGCTGAAAGTGCCCTGTGAGGATCCT